TGTATATAAGAATTTCCATTTCTAGTTTTGAAAATCTAACTTCAGATTCGTAATCAGCGACCCAAAAAACCCCTAGATACCAAGTTTGAAGTAAATCCATCAATTTTTACAAAATTCGTCCGCCATATTCGAGCCGCCATTTTAAATTTTGAAAATATAACTTTAGATTCGTAATCAGCGACCCAAAATCCCCTAGATACCAAGTTTGAAGTAAATCCATCAATTTTTACAAAATTCGTCCGCCATATTCGAGCCGCCATTTTAAATTTTGAAAATATAACTTTAGATTCGTAATCAGCGACCCAAAATCCCCTAGATACCAAGTTTGAAGTAAATCCATCAATTTTTACAAAATTCGTCCGCCATATTGGAGCCGCCATTTTTAATTTTGAAAATCTAACTTCAAATTCGTCATTAGCGACCCAAAAAAATCCCTAGATACCAATTTTGAAGTAATTCCATCAACTTTAAAAAAAATAGCCTACCTCTCAAAATCCGACAGGTTTTTGGAGGTTAGAAAAAAATCCTGACGTGATGCAGCAAAACGGACTTCGGATTCGTGTTCAGCGTGTCAAAATACATAGGAAATGACTAGTCTGGTCTTTGCCGCGCACGACACTTTTTTTGTAGGGCTGTGTAATTGAAACTTCAAAAAATTGTTAAGATAAAGATAATAAAAATGTTTTATTTTGAACATAAATTCCAAAATAAAGTAATAAAAATAAAAATAATTGAAGCTGTCTAGATTTGTAGAACTAAAATTTAAGATATTTGAAATATATGTTCAAAGTAAATGCAGGTATGTCTGCTACATTGGTTACATACCTGGCAGTTTTCAGAAATATGAAATTTCATGTACAATGTACAATTTTATTACGATAACCTAACCGTTGGCCAGCTAGGGTCTTGCGCGTTTATGGTACCCAGGTAAAAATCCTTGAGAGTAACGAGTAAAATGTGTTGTAGAAGATGAAAAATGTTTGCTTGCATTTATTAATTAACCCATGTTGCCAAATAAAATTAGAGGGACAAATTTTGAAATTTAGAAAATGACAACATCGCCTTTTTGGAGGTAGGACAAGGTTCTGACCTGGGTCATAAGTTAGTTACCACGTAGACACCGTCGTCTTCAGTTTCCTTAATTCTTGTACTTACTATGAATGTTATTGAATTAATAAATTATATATTGTTTTTCAAGAGAAATTTCATCAATCATATTTCTTTGCACTTCCTTCCCATTTTGAACTAAACTCAAAATACGTGATTATTCAACGTATTTAACATTGGTCCTTCGAGCCGGATATTAGTGAATTATCCGTGGAACTTAATTTGGTGAACTCAAAGTGACATTATGGGATTAAGAAAATAGCAGAAATACATTTCCTATTTCTCATTGTTGTGTCGAAACATAACACACCTGTCTTAAATGAAGAAAAAGTTAGTCCCCAATGCCGAAAAAAATCTCATATATTTTGAATCTCTGGACCCTAAATGAACAAAATTTAAAAGATTCAAAATCGTTACCGATCCTCCTGCATGACATTTTATGTATTTATTGCTTTTTATGCATTATAATGAAAAATTGCTTCATTACGATGTGCAGATCAGTTGAAATTACTAGTGCAATTTTTTTATACTTATTAAATGTAAAAATAATAATAATACATAACTATAATTTTTGGGAATAAAAGTTGGATGATCAATATTGTAATCTTAAATCCGCACTGTCAACAAAAATAATAAGAGAGTATTTTCCATAGAACACCGCAGATGCAAACATTAGATTATCCAAATTTTCTATCACTTCTTATTCTTATTAATATACGCAACATTAGTTACTGCTATTGGCATTTGTATTTGTATCGTGTAAGAAAATAAATGATAACAAGTTGGCTAAAATTAGTTCAAAGTTTTGTAGATGTAGTTGATTTATTTTTAATCTATTTAAAAATGACTTATTACTACAAGTTAAATCACGCCTGTTGACATGATTGAAATATAAAAAAATTTGTGCCTTGTGTGGTATAAAAATTGTTTGCAAAGATGGTAATTTAGAAACTTTTTTCATCACAGTAAACCAAGAAAAGCTGATCAAAACTTATGAGAATAGAAATTTTTCTTTAAATAATTCAACATTTTGTATCGAGCATGTGTGTAAATTATCAAACAATATTATCTGAACTTATCAACGGCAATTCTATGGTTGGAAATTTTAAATTACTTAAAGAAAAACTTTTATTCATAAAAGTTTGGAACATCTTTTTATGACTTTCTGTGAAGAAAAAAGTTTTTAAATTACTATCTTTGCAAACAATTTTTTTACTACATAAGGTACAAACTTTTTATTTTAATGATGAAAAACGCGTGATTAAAAATAAATCAACTACATCTACAAAACTTTGAACTAATTTTAGCCAACTTGTTATCATTTATTTTCTTACACGATACAAATACAAATGCCAATAGCAGTAACTAATGTTGCGTATATTAATAAGAATAAGAAGTGATAGAAAATTTGGATAATCTAATGTTTGCATCTGCGGTGTTCTATGGAAAATACTCTCTTATTATTTTTGTTGACAGTGCGGATTTAAGATTACAATATTGATCATCCAACTTTTATTCCCAAAAATTATAGTTATGTATTATTATTATTTTTACATTTAATAAGTATAAAAAAATTGCACTTGTAATTTCAACTGATCTGCACATCATAATGAAGCAATTTTTCATTATAATGCATAAAAAAACAATAAATACATAAAAAGTCATGCAGGAGGATCGGTTACGATTTTGAATCTTTGAAATTTTGTTTATTTAGTGTCCAGAGATTCAAAATATATAAGAGTTTTTTTCGGCATCGGAGACCAACTTTTTCTTTGTTAAAGATAGGTGTGATAAGAACTGATTAGTGCGAACAATAAATACAAAAGTTTTGTTTTGTCGAGAATGTGGATATGTTTAAGGGCGGTAATTATTGGTATGTGGTAACTGTGAACATGAACATATATGTGACGCTCCACGGTGAAAGGGTGCTTAGCTGTTTTTGACAGAAATAAACTTTGCAGTAAAAATAAATAAAAGCGATTAGTTTTCGGTACAAACTATTATTATTTAATGATTTATTAGATGCAATATTTTCAGTAAAAAATGCTTTTGATGTTAAATAATCAAAAATAAATCTTTAATAAAGCAAAAACTACCATGAACATAACCTAAAATTTTAAGCAGCTAAGCACCCTTTCACCGTGGAGCGTCACATATGATATTGTACTGTGACTTAATGTGCTATAACTATTTTTTATGGTGATAACAAATCAAGAACAACCTTCTAAGCTGATAATCTTCACCTCCTTCAACTTTCATCGGTGAGTCGTTACTTTGAATTTAGACACTCAACTTGTGTATCATGACTAACGTCTACAAGTTAAGGGCCAAGCGAAGGCCAATAAAATCTGCGTTAACCAGATTTACAAATGTATTTACTCAACATGATAAAAATTCGGGTGTTGGATCATTACCTGCGCGACTTATAACTTTTGAACAATTGTACGATAAATTTGATACCATACAAACGCAAATTTAAATGTTAGTTACAGATGATAATGCGCAATCAATAATTCAAAACAAAGAGCGAGAAGATTTTGAAAATAATTATTTTTCGTGTCCTTACAGAAGTTAGAAAATTTATCGCGAATCAAATCTCAGAGAAGAGTTCGCGGTCTAACTTGCATCAGACAGGGAGTAATCGCTCTTCCCCAATTAATGTTTAATCAACTCAATCAGCTGACATATTTAGTGTGAAGCTTCCAACAATTTCATTACCAAACTTTGATGGTTCATTTAAGAACTGGTTAAGTTTTCGCGCCACATTCAAATCTCTCATTCATAACAATGCACGTTTAACAAATATTCAAAAATCCCACTACTTGAATTCAGCATTAACTGGGGAAGCTGCACGTATTATTGTATCACTCGGGGTATCGGACGCAATTATCTAATAGCCTGGAATGCATTAATTGAACGTTATGAAGATTCGTTATCAATGGTCCTCTTTTATATAAAATGTTTATTCGAATTAAATACTATAAATAAAACATCCTATATTGCATTGCAACAGCTGATAGATGATTCAACAAATCATTTATTATCTCTCAAGGCATAAGGTGAGAAAACGGAACATTGGGATGTATTGATATCATATCTTATAACAACTAAACTTGATCAATTTACGAAACGTGCGTGGGAAAAACGGACGTTACTACAATCTGTAAAACCCTCGTTTAAAGATTTTATCTTCTTTCTCGAAAGTCAAGTTAAATATTTACAAAGAACTGCGATAGATAAACCAAATGCGAATCAGCCTAATAAAAAGGGAACAATGCCTAAGCCATCTAATGTAAGGTCAAATGAACGAGTACTATCTCATGCAACGACAAAAAAAACATGTCTGTTATGTAACGAAAGTCATCCGCTTTATAAATGTGAGAAATTTTTGAATTTTCCAATTCAGTCTAGAATCCAAGAAGTGTCGCGACTACGCGTTTGTTTCAATTGCCTTTCGTCGGGACATCACAATAAACAATGTACCATTGGATCATGCAGGAAATGTTCAGGAAAACATAACACTCTCCTTCACCTCGAACGCGAACCAGACAATCAAAATAAGTTGAATGATAATGACAAGAACGTTGTGCCTCCTCAAACCAACATACAACAAACGGAAAACAATGTTACAGATCGTAAATGTAAATGTATACATTTTTATTAAATTGAACATTCATTGTCAAAATAAAATATTTAATTAAAAAAATAACTTTTTTCTATTTCAAATACTTCTTAATGAGTAATAAATTGTTGTCATCTGATAAATTCGGGTCACATAATATATTCTGAATTTTTGAAGTATTTTATAATTTTGTTTCAGATGTCTTGGATGCAACTAACATTGCCCATACCAGAAAGAAAACAAGAGATTTTAACAGTTAAAATCACAAAAATTTATTACAGTCATATTATAAAATAAAAATAGAAAATGAATTTTACATTATTTTGTGAAATTGTTTATAAAATATTATTCTTATCATTCATTCCATGGCTTCTTTGTTACAGATCAGTGAAGAGTATAAATTATTATTTGATAATGATGAAGACAAAAACTTTTTTGGTCGTTTTCCGACCTTTTACGCACCTCGGATATTAAAATATTGCGAAATTTAAATAAATGATCTTTATAAACAAGCTGGTATCATCAAGGATGGTAATTTTTCAATAATATATTTCTTTGTTTTCATCTAATTTACCCTGTTGCTAACATATCTTCTTTATTTTACATGCATAAGCAGATACTTTGAAAGTTTTATTAATTCTCCCTGAATTATTACCGGTAACAAATTATACTCAACGAAAGCGAAAAAATGATGGAACAGTGAAAGGTAAAAAAAGTCAAGCCAAAAAAAGCAAATCTTCAAATGGATCAACGAGCGAAAACGCCAAGAATGAATTCACAAAATTTCCGAATCCAGATTTGCTTGTAATAATGCCGGTAAGGAAAACCATTTATATTGTTATTACTTTAATATTTAATGAAAAGTTAAGTTTTTAAAATTATTACTTCAAAATATAGTTTAGATTTATTTGGATTTTCAGAAATTAATTTTATATAAACAATTTTTTAAAAATTTTAAGTAGCTACGGCATTATAAAATGGGTCAGAATTTCCCAAACGGATCACCTGAAACCAAAAAATTTTTTTTTTGACCAAAAATATTTTTTTTTATTCTTTATATGGTCAAAAAGAATATCATCAACATATTTTTTAATTTACTTTCGCTTTTGCATAGTTGCAATGGTGATAGATGTTCTTTTGTTTTAAATAGAAAACAAATGAATGTCGAGTTTTATACTTACACGTAAATGTCTTTTACAGTTTTAGTTGCTAAAAAATTTATCAGAATTTTAAGTAAATCGTGACATGCAAGTAATTTAAAATTGTTAATAATAATTTAACAGTTATTTCATAAAAATTGTTGAAAGAAATTGAGTGTATGAGTCATCTTCAAATATTGTATAGAATAGTGTGAGTATGCCAGTGTGTCTGGGCCTTCGATTATTCTCAGAATTAATCATGATTGTCCGAGAAAATTTGGTGAATTTCGAGGAAAGGCTGATCGGCTGATCAGCGGTTTGGGATCGAGGGTCGCGGGGAGGTATTCGGGGTGTAGGAATAATAAAAGTACATTTCCGGGGTCTCTCGGTCTTATTGCTCATTATTCTGCGGAAATCACGTCATCCCTGTGTCCATTGCCAATGCCTCATAGGTAAAATCTACATGCATTTAACATAATACGTTTTTATTAAATAAGGGTTTTTGGGAAAATAATATTAAATAACGGGATAATAATTTAGTTGATTTTATTATTTTATTTAACATAGGAGTGGCGTTTAATTGCTGTTTTTGATGGGTGATTTATAATAATCGAGTGAGGACGCGAGCAAGACCGGAGACCCCAGATATCTCAATAATTGACATTCTGTCGTGTAATACCTGATCATCTGAGGATGCCGATTCAGAAATTTATACAAGTTGGGCGAAGATAAAAACTCGATAATATATATATTTTGGTGACAATTTGCCAACGTATCTGACTGACCTCTCTCCGGTTTCAAACCGTCTCCGCCTCATCAACCCGCATCAGCAGAGCGATAAGTCATTTTTATTTATTATTTGTATCTATTGTTTGTATAACATTTGAATAGTTTTTATGATTGTGGAGTTTGTTTTATATAACTTTAATATTATGTCTAATTAAAGTATGCCTGAAGGTGAAAGAACGTTTTCGATGTTATAAATAAAATTGACAACTTGGGCCCAAACCCATAATTAAATTATTATAATAAATGTTAATTGTTCATTTGTTTAATTTAGTCTGAATATTATTATTTTTCTTTAAAATCATTTAATATTGTTTTTATTAAAAAATGGTTTATTTTATAACTATCAAATTTATTAATTCGAATTGACGCCTAACAGTCTCGTTTAATATTGTGTTGTATATTTATATATTTTGATAAAGTATTGTTACATGGTGCCTATTAATAAGTGTTGTAATCCTTGCGGGAAAAAAACATTCTTGCATATACAAATCTCTGAAACAAGTAACCGAACATTGGAGTGCAGTTTTCTCTAATTTGATTGGAAAATATGTATGCGATTCATGTAGACTATTAGTTATGAGAAATAATCCTATGGGTACTTGTATGGACGTGTATTTACGTGTAAGTATAAAACTCGACATTCATTTGCTTTCTATTTAAAACAAAAGAACATCTATCACCATTGCAACTATGCAAAAGCGAAACTAAATTAAAAGATATGTTGATTATATTGTTTTTAATTCCAAAACACCTAAATATTATAAATAAATAATAAATGTTTTTTTACTTTTGAGCCAAGTGGCTAAAATAACAATGTGTCGAATATTTTCTGCCTTAAAAAGTTTTATTCAATGTAAAAATATAAATATTATATAAATTCAATAAAAAATATCAAGAAAGTAAATTATTAATAAATAATTATCAATTTCACTTTTTTATTTATTGTGTCTGTTGACTATACTTTACCATTGAAATCTGTGCAAACATGTAGCGTAAAACTAGTGCGCACAGGTGTGATGGGTCCATACTTGCGCGACCAAAGTACATCATTTTACCGTTCTGCATAGCGACAGTTTTTAATTAACAATTTTTTTTCTAATTGAGTGTCATTTTTTTCTAAACGGTTTTATGTTCAGAAATAATTGAGGAATACAACACAATTTTTATTTTTTCGTTCGGACATGAAGAACACAATTTTTTATTAACATTTTATAAACAAACAATATAAAAAATTTTCAAAACAAAAATTATTTTTGAAAACTACAATTCAAGACGAAAATACCCTTTTTTTATTTTTAAATCGGTCAACTGGAAATCGAGAAAAAAATTTTTTTAATTTAAGACTGCTAAAAAATTCAATTGTTTATAACTTTGCCAAAAACTTTTTTTTACTCTAAAAATTTCAGAGATTCTTTTTGACCATATAAAGAATAAAGAATAGTATATTATGTGGCAAACACGTAAAGTAGTACTTTTTGGGTGAGGTACCCTAAATTTAAAGGTTAAGATCGTTTCAAGACTCTAAATATAGCCGCAAGTCGCCCCCTTCTCTTGACTTGCGGCTATATTCAGAGTCTTGGAACAGCGGCGATATCTTTTTGTAATGTAGGTAGATATATTTATATAATATATGATATATATAATATATATATGAGACATTCTTTTTCAATCGCCCCAGCCCAAAAAGTCAATGTTCTGGGATTGGCTTCATACTTTGGTAAATTGTTTTCCTATATTATAGTAATAAATCCCTAAACTATAAACTCATTAAAAAAATATTTCTAGAAAGTAGAGGGGGTTGAAGTTTTGACGTTAAGGGTAATATTGTCATTTTCAAATCCGCATAACTATAACAAAAGTTAATGAATTTTAATTTATTTATAATGAGTTTTAATGCATTTTTCATGTACTTTTCAAAAATGTATACAAAATTAAAAAAAAAAATTTCTCCCCTTTTTTTCAAAATCAACCCTTATTTTTCGATTTTCACCCCTTCGGGTATTTTTTTTATTTTTTTTTATTATCATTGGTAAGCTGAGGTTTTTTCCCATGAGCTATGTAAATATGAAAATGGGACAACAATAATTTTGTGAGAAACAGAATATTAAAGTAGGCGGTGCCGATAACGGGTATACCTGAAGTTCATCTTCGAGGATTTAGGTAGGCACCGCCTAATTTAATATTATGTTTCTGACAAAATTATTGTTGTCCCACTTTCATATTTACATAGCTCATGGGAAAAAACATCAGCTTTCCAATGAAAATAAAAAAAATTCCCGAAGGGGTGAAAATCGAAAAATAAGGGTTGATTTTGAAAAAAGGGGTGAAATTTTGTTTTTTAAATTTTGTATACATTTTTGAAAAGTACATGAAAAATGCATTAAAATTCATTATAGATAAATTAAAATCCATTAACTTTTGTTATAGTTATACGCATATGAATATGACAATTTTACCCTTAACGGCACCCTTATCGGCACCGCCTACTTTAATATTCTGTTTCTCACAAAATTATTGTTGTCCCATTTTCATATTTACATAGCTCATGGGAAAAAACCTCAGCTTTCCAATGAAAATAAAAAAAATAAAAAAAAATACCCAAAGGGGTGAAAATCGAAAAATAAGGGTTGATTTTGAAAAAAAGGGGAGAAATTTTTTTTTTCAATTTTGTATACATTTTTGAAAAGTACATGAAAAATTCATTAAAATTCATTATAGAGAAATTAAAATCCATTAACTTTTGTTATAGTTATACGGATTTGAAAATGACAATATTACCCATAATGTCAAAATTTCAACCCCCTCTACTTTCTAGAAATATTTTTTTAATGAGTTTATATTTTAGGGATTTATTACTATCATATAGGACAACAATTTACTAAAGTATGAAGCCAATCCCAGAACATTGACTTTTTGGGCTGGGGCGATTGAAAAAGAATCTCTCATATATATATAATATAATATAGATATATAAAATAGTATATAAAATAAAATAATAAAAATTGATAAATAAAATAACAGCAAAACAAAAATTATGCAAAAATTAACAACTGCCTAAAAAAGACTTTATAGGTCAGTTTACTGCCTAAAAAAGTCGTTTTTAGGCAGTTGGCCCAAACTGCCTTAAAAAGACACTTTTTCATGTCAATGGCGAAAAAAAAATATTTTTGGTCAAAAAAATTTTTTTGGTTTTATGTGATCCGTTTGGGAAATTCTGACCCAAATCATTTTTGAAGTACAATATTTTGAAAAGAGTTTTTTGAAATAATTTTTTTATAATTATAAATTAAAAATTATATTAAAAAACTAGTAACTTTTATTTTTAAAAAAATATTTTTATTTTAGGAAGGATTTTATCTGCCAGGGTCTGTAACCCAAAAGCGCCTGAATAGTCAAAAACCTGTGCAGCCATACATGATTCTAGTAAAAGGACAATGTAAGGATAGATTCTTCTTACAAAAAGATGGCTGGTATATAGAAATGAACGCAAAAGTTGGTCCCTTAGTGGTATTGGATCTCTTATTCAAACTTCATTACGCCTTTAATGTTTGTTATGCCGATTCCTTACTTCTTTTCTATAATTTTATGAATGTTTTTTTATATAAGACATCAACTGCTGCTCGAAACTCTGTTTCATCTTTGAACATTTCTTTAAAGAGTTTAAATTTGGATAGCAGCACAGATGATGAAGACGAATTCATGGACTAAACTTCAGATAATTTAAGGAAAAATTCTATATAAAAAAATAATTTTTTTGTTTGTATAATGTATTTTCATTGCGTATTCATATGACGTATCATATTTTATTTTTGTGAAGACAGGTTTAACTTTTTAATGTATAAAGAGTTCAATTAATATTATGTGTTTACTATTGGCATTTTATAAAACATATTACGAATATTGTTTCTGGAACATTTAAAATTTGTTTAATTATAAGTATTTCAGTTTCAATTCAACTCTTGTATAAAAGTACACTTCTCTAAAGAAAATTTTAATATATTATTCTAATATAAATAAAAACTCATTTTTTGATAAAATCTTGTACCACACTTTATTATATTTGCTACTTTATTAATGTATTAGGATTTCTTCAATCTTGTTCCAATGTGAAATAATATTGCAAATGTGAAATAATTTTTATGTGTTAAAATAGTGAAATTAACAAGATTATTAAATTTTAACAAATATTATAATTACACTACCGTCCGAAATTGTGCGAACTCTGCTTTTTCAACAACTATAAAACTGTTCAAATCTTCAAAAATATTAAAACTGAAATTTTTTCCTCTTTATTTTATTAAAGCTAATAAAATTCTGAAAGAAATAACACCTTGACAAAGAGAATATGTTAATTTTTCAATTAGATATCTAAGAAAAACCCAATTTTCAATGTTTTTACTATTTTTTTTATTTCTCTTGAAAAAATTAATATTTTTAAACGTTCTTAGGCTCATTGAAATCGTATTTTGTTATGCAATTCAAATTATATAAAACAATTCATGTACACATTCTTCCCTAGCGTATGCAAACCGTGAAACTTGGCTCATAAAATGTCAAAAAATTGTGATTAATGTTTATATGACAAAAATTGATCAGTAAAATGTATAAATTTCAAACTTACTTACATAAATCAGAGAAGTTTAGAATGATATATATACTTGATTTTTAAACATTATATTTTATTGTAGAATTAAATTTCAATTTTTTGACATTTTATGAGCCAACTTTCACGGTTTGCATACGCTAGGGAAGAATGTGTACATGAATTGTTTTATATAATTTGAATTGCATAACAAAATACGATTTCAATGAGCCTAAGAACGTTTAAAAATATTAATTTTTTCAAGAGAAATAAAAAAAATAGTAAAAACATTGAAAATTGGGTTTTTCTTAGATATCTAATTGAAAAATTAACATATTCTTTTTGTCAAGGTGTCATTTCTTTCAGAATTTTATTAACTTTAATAAAATAAAGAGGAAAAAATTTTAGTTTTAATATTTTTGAAGATTTGAACAGTTTTATAGTTGTTGAAAAAGCAGAGTTCGCACAATTTCGGACGGTAGTGTATTATATTATTATTAATTATGTTCGTTAATTAATTATTACAATTGTTATAATTATATTATAATTAATAATTATTTGTCAATAATTAAAAAACAATAACATTATTGACATTATTATAATATTAATAATATTATATTAATTTAAATTTTAATAATTTAATAATTTTAAGAAATAATAGTGAAGAATTATTTTAAATTGACTGATTAAACCAGTAACCAAATGCTTAGCATAAGTTACTGAAGCATCAGTCATTTCACTACTGATTGCATTAGTGATTAATTATTTTCTGTTTCAATCAGTAACTTTTCACTGATTTCCAGTGGAAGACTTTTCTTTATTTCAATCAGTGAAATTTGACTGACTATGATAATGTAAAAGAAATATTATAATTTTTTAAGAATGACTAAATTTATTTTTATAAATTGATAAAAGCAATTAAAGATAAGAAATAATAACCTAATTTTGCGATTTTTATCCATTAATTGTAAGAAAGGCAAAGGAAATAAAGAAAATAAAAACTTACCAAATATAAAGTACTTGTAATTAACTTTTAATTTTTCTTAGCACTTTCTTTCTTTCTTCTTAATAAAAATATAAAATTAAGCATTTAAAATTAGCACTATGCTGATTTAAACAATTTTTAAACATTCCCAGTCGAAAATCCTACGCTATGTTAAGCTGAACAAAAAGTTGTTTTGAAGTATTGAGATAACCATTAGAGAATTGTGAGACAGTAGATAACTAGCTATAGAAAACTTTCAGGAAGCCTGTTATGGCCGATTTTTCGCTTCCACGGAAAGCTTGAAAATAACAAAGTTTGTACATTTTAAACAAAGCATTTAAGTAGCTTTGAGAGAGTTATCAAAGAGTTGCAGGATTTTGCATATATAAAAAGAAAGCGTTCAGGTGGCGAAAATTAAATGAAGCGTCATGGATGTTTCAGGAAACAGCGGAAAAATGACAATGATCAAAAATTAAATTTAACCTTTCTTTCCATCTTTATTTATCTCGTAAAAATATTATGTATTAGATTATTATATTTAAATATTGAAGAATTAAAGAAAAATTATTTACGTCAGACTCGGTATTTTAACTTTTAGTACATTGTTGTCAACCAAAATTTGTAAATAAAAATACACTGTTAAATTCATTTTCATAAATTATGAAATTCTAAAAGAATAAAGAATATATTATTTATAAAAAATATTCATAAATATCAAGTATAAAAATAATAATCTTTTTTTTTAAATATTAAATATTTTGTCTTTTTTTTAAGAAATTGTATTCATTATTCAATATAAAAAGTTTTCACCGTGTTCGTATTCCTAACCCCAAATTTTGCTCAAGTTATATATAATTTTTTTCGTATATAATTTAAGTGTTTAAAAATAAACGTTTTCTTTGAAAAGTAATTTTTATATAATATATAAAGAATAATTATTAATTGTATAAAACGGATTTACAAATTACTATAGAATTTTTATAATTTTTCGATTTAGTTTAATTTAATGAAATTATTCTAGTTTTCAGGAAGTGTAAAAAAGGTAATTAAATTACATATTAATTTGCAACTTGTGAAAAGCAAATAGAATTGCTTTCTTACATATTAAACCAGGCATTAGGAAAGCATTCACCAAGCAAACTGGTAGACCTTTTGCTAGAAGCTGTCCACAGATATTCAACAAGCTGTAGAAAAAGCTTCCCGTTAAGAAGTCAGAAAGCAAATATCACAGAATTTTAGGTCTAATGTATAAATAGTTGCCATGAAGCTTTTGAAACCTTCATAACAGTTACCTGAAGGCCATGTGAACCCTTCAGGGAAACTTACGATTTTCGACTGGGTTAATAACTTTATTACAGAAAAATAAAGAATTACGAAACTTGGGGAATATCTCAATCGTCACTGAATATACACACTCTAAAAGTTTCGCTTGGGAGAAAAAAATACTTTTTTGGATAATAAAGATTAAAAAAAAAATTTTATCAGGTTAATACATGTCAAAAATTGAAAAAAATGATTTAATCTATAGATTTCAGTAAAATATGAACTTTATATAGGTTAATCGACTTGTTTCAATGAAAGAAATAAGTTTTTTTACCAAACAAAATTAAATTTACAAAAAAAAAATATTAAGAAAAAATTTTTTTTATATTTTGAAAAAATTGTAAAAAATAAAATGTTGTGAACATATTCAGAAATCCTTGTATCAGATTTTAGGTATTAATGATTACAATACGCATACAAAATTTCAGGACAATCCGTTAACACGTTTCTGAGATAATTTGTACACAATATTTTGTGACATACACACACATACATCTGGAAATTTGCTCAGGACTTCATATATATTAATTCTAGATGAAAATATGTCCATATAACCCAATTTTAAAAAATCGAGAATGGTCACGAATGCAAAGCTTCCTCATGAGGAAGCAAAATTGATCAGATTCGTTTGAAACTTGTTAGTAGGGGGTTTTTGGGGTCACTGATTACGAATACGGTGCCAGTTTTTAAAAATACAACATGGCGGATCCAATATGGTGGAAATTTTTTCTAAAAGTGCTTGCATTTGCCAAAAAATGTGTACTTTTAATTTTTTTACAAAAAGTATTATGATGTAATTACAAATCTTGTGTCTGTTTCTAAAAGTTCAAAATCTCGGATGGCTGACATGGCTGAATATGGCTGACATTATTATATTATTTTTATATATTATAGTACCTATTATTATAAATATAATAATTATATTATTTCATGTTATTGTATATTATTTATTATTAATAAATTAATTATATAATTGTAACGAGTTACAGACGAATTTTGAAGTTACAAAAACAGATTTTAGATTCGTAATCAGCGACCCCGAAAACCCTCAAGAAACGATTTTCAAACGAATCCGATCAATTTTTAAATTTTTCACCCGCCATATTGGATCCGTCAATTTAAATTTTCAAAAACGAATTTCAGATTTGCAATCAGGGTCATTTTGGCTATGAACTTAGCATTATCTCAGATCCAAATATCAGGTTAAATGATCTTGTTAATGAAAATAACGCCATTTCTATTTATAGGTATAGTATCAAGAGAGGTATTCCTTTTAGATGCCTCTATGTATGCGGCTGATTATGTTGCTTTAAATGATGCATTGGATGTTGCGTTGAGGTATCGACATTGTAATTTTCTCATCTTTTCGGACTCCTTAAGTGCACTGTAAAGTTTAAAGTCCATCTCTATTAGTATTAAAACAAATATTTATATTTTTGAAATAAGAAGAAAATTTATAGAGTTCTATACTGAAAATCCCGAAAAAAATCCTATTACAATAGTTTTGTTAAATTTTATTGGGTTACTTCGCACATTGGAGTCCGAGGAAATGAGGAATCTGATTTGTTGCCTAAGTCTGCTACTGAAGTGAAGAGTGTTGAAGATTTTAGGATTCCTTACACTGATTTGTTTGAGTCTTTTTGGAAAAGATCTTACTTGCGAACTAGAGATTTTGTAAAATGTGTACATACAGTTACTAACAAATAGAGCTTTCGCAAAATGTGCTACAAAAAAAAATAATTAAAAAACACTTATTATCGGACCTACTAGAGGTTGTAAGTAACAAAAAACTAAGAAGAATCGCATATTAAAAATTTCCCTAACACCCCCAAATTTTGTTGTTACAGACAAAAAACCGTTTACACGTATATTTATGACTAAAACTTTGTAATTTTTTTATTTTTGCACCGATTTATAAGTTTTTTTTTCATTTTGAAG